TTCTTTTGGTAGTCAGACCTGTTCATGATGACACCAGCACCTCCTTTATCCATCGCTTTTAATATAATGTCAGGGTTGTTTCTGAGGCTGTGGATGGCATTGCGTTCTGCACGACTTAGGTTATGAGGCAAGCGATGTTGGTTTTCCACAATTTCTGCCTGTGCACGTCGGTGGACGCATTCTATGTATACGTCCAGACTGTCATTTCAACCCTCAGGAGGAGTCCATGTGGAGTTCTTCTTCTTGTGCTGTTGGTGGGAGGGTATCTGTGTATCAGTGTGCTGTTCAGTGTTATCTTGAAAGTATTCTTTGAGTTGGAGATGGCGAAAGTAGGCTTCCAGATCACCGCATAACTGAATCATGTTTGTGGGGATGGCGGGGCAGAAAGAGAGTCCCCGAGATAGGACAGACTCTTCTGCCGGGCTGAGTGTGTAGCTGGATAGATTGATGATATTGCTGGGTGAGTTAGGGGTACCACTGTTGTGGCCCCATGTGGCAGGTAGGATTTTAGACAGCTTACCGTCCTTTATTCTTTGTAGAGAGGTGAAGTGTGTAATGTAGATCTCCTGTCTTATTTTAGTAAAGTCCGTTTGTATGGAAGGTTGGTTATTTATGAGAGTCTCCAGGTTGGAGAGCTCCTTTTTGATGTTTTCCTGTTTGCTGTATCGGATGCTGATCAGGTGGTTCCTCAGTTTCTTTGATAGTGTATGGCATAATCTCTCATTGTGGTCTGTGCAGTCCTACAAACTTTTCCTTGCGGTAGTAGTCCTGTTGCCTTCTGAGGGCCTATGTAAGTGTGTGCAGGATCAGACTCTAATTTTAGATATGACACAATTAGTGAGAAAAATGCAAATGGACAGGGGATGTGATTATGGAATCAGGAGGATGAGGGAATCAATAACATAGGCTGAAACTAGGAATAAAGTGGGCATAGCTCTTGTGCTGGCCTTCTCTGCGGAGGTGAATTTCATCCTAACAGTGATGTTGAAAGGTTAGAAATGTCATCTTAATCTCACTAGATAGGGGAACTAGCCTCAAACTGAAAATTGGAGCAAAGTGGCTGCACTGACTGCAAATAGCAATAGTAGGTGGCATTGCACCAAGAGAAGCAGCTCCTGTTACCATTGTTTTTCACTAATCAATAGCATTAAAACAGGTTATCATGTGCTGTTAATAAATATGTTTGCTGAACTTTCTAGAGCAATGGAGGTTGCCATCTGGTTTATGTTTATCCTGCTGGGCACTATGGATGAAGAGAGAAACTGCAAAGGGAAATGGGCCTATTGCTTGACGTGTTTATTTGCAACTGAGTGTTATCCCAGCACTATCTACTCATATTTGATAAGCTAAGTGAGACTAGGTAGTTCAAGGACTGGAAATGTGCCAGGTGAGGGGAAACAAGAAACGAGAGGTAAACTAAGGGAGAGGTGTATAAGACCATGCCGGTCTCTCCTCCCGCCCTTTACACATAAACATACAGATAGGTACAATCTAGCTGTGTATCTGAAGAAGCTTCATGCTAAATTCTTTTGCTCTCTCGGCGTTGCTGAGTGCGGAAGTCGCTCCGTGGGTCAAATCAGTCTGACCTAGATGAACTCATTTTTTTCAGTGGGCATTTTGCCTCACTGTAGGATTTGGCACTGCAGGTTTAATTTGTATCACCACCACATAATAATACTGCTTCTTCGAGGGATTTGTCCGGCCATGTTGTTTTCATCTTGACACGTGACTTGTTTCCCAATTAAGTATTAAGTCTCCCCTGGAATGGCTCGGTGCCACTGTTTAACCATGAATCTTTTCTTGCCGGGTAGCTCTAACAGAATTTCTGCTTCCTTATATTTGATGTTAGTTGCTGTTTTTTAAAAAAAACGAGAAAACTAAATATTTGTGCCTCTTTTCTGATGGCCAAGGCTCCCCCTTCTCATTTTATAAACCCATACAGTTCTTCTGTCAGGTGTTAAAATAATTAAAAATGTGTTGACAGACACACACACATTCCCTCTTCTGACAGAACTCAGGCTCCTCCTCAGATGAATGTAACATTTAGGAATTACGATATTCTGTTAATATTTTAACGTGTTTTTCTAAACTTAAATTATCTGCTCTATCCTGCCCTCTTTACAGTGGCAAAGTTCTATTGACTTCAGTGGGAGCTTTGTCTGTATGCAAGCTGCATAGATTTAAAATGTTTTCTTCTTTGTTCTCATTTATCTATCATAATTTTTTTTCTTTGTTTCTTTCTGATATGGGGTGATTTTAAAACCACCTATGGAATTTAGGAGTCTAAGTACCATTTTCAAAAGTGACTTAGGCCGTTTTGTCTACACTGCAAAAACAACAAAAAAGGCCTCCCTAGCTTTCATAGCCTGCGCTCCAGCCCCAGACGGAATATCTACACTGCCATTTTTAGTGCTGTATTGTGAGCCCGATGAGCCTGTGTGTGTAGACCTGGGCTCTGAGACACTCTGCTGCATTTTTGTTGTTGTTTTTGTTGCTGTGTCAACATATCCTTAGTCTTATTTAGGCTCTTAAAGGCCTGATTTTTAAACATGTTTAAGCACTTGAAAGATGTGGCTAGGTACCCAGTGGGATTTTCCAAAGCACCTATATGCCTAACACCTAGCTTAAAAATAAGGTACAGCTCAGAGTCATTTGTTTATGCAGTTTTTATAGTCATTTTATTGAAAAAGCTGGTATTAACATATTTATATTTTTATTCAACAACAGTTAGCTAATTTGTGCAACACAAAGGATGCAGCCATGAACAACAGCTTTCCAAACAATCTGATTTACCAACTTTACCATCATTTACTCTACACCACTGAAAGCTCAAACCAAAACGAAAAAAAGTTTTAAAAGTTTCACAATGACGATGTCAACTTTCTTACAGTCAAGAAGACCAGGAAACTGAATCATAGCAGTGACGTCAGAGTCATGAATGTGATACTGGTCTTTAAAAGAATTTCCATATTTTCCTCAGTAATCACATCATATCATTTTGGTCTGGAAATCAATAATTTTGTAAAGCTCCAAAAATGTATTTTATTAGTTAGTTATTTTAACAAGATCTTTTTGGTACCCAAACCTGAAACAGAATACAGTACTTGAAATAAAAATAGTATAACTGTGGTATTAAGATCTGCTTTATAATAAGTTACATATTGACTCTTACTTGAGGATGTGAGAAGCTAAATATGTGGTACAGTACTTCTAGCAGTAAATGCCAGTATGAGCTGTTAGCATTTTTGGGCTACAAAGGTTAATGGAGGCGGCCAAAAGTCAAAGAAAGTGTATGACATCCTTGAAGCAGTAGTTTGGCATTAACAAGATTTCTATACAATTTACCACATTCTTAAACCTTTTTACAAGAAAAAATTTGATTGTTAACTTTAATTAGAATAAATATGTACATATAATACTGCCCATGTCTTCTAGCGTGTACAGTATTTTATAAACAAACATTCCTCATTCCCTTTAAAATTAACCTACATATTTCATACTGTATGTGTATAGTTATGGCTGGAAACTGATGCACATGTGTTTGTGCTTCTACACATGGAATAGACAGTATCAATCTAAAAAATTTTAAACATACATAGTTCATGTGTCATGTCAAGACTTCATATAAAAAGTTGTTACCTTTTTTTGTAAACCTTGGAAGTAGACTTTTCCCCCAAAATCATAATATAAAAGCATGCAGGTTCATTTATTAGTTCATTCTCCAAAAAGTCAGTGAAGAATGGGGTAAGGTTGTTAAAGAACCTTTTCAAAGTGAGGGATTTTTAACAATAGCAGATCAGCCAAGGCATCTGAGTCAGTTACACTCCTTTACTCATGAGTTGAGAAGAAATCATTTGGGGTAATAATTTTCCATAGATTTTATTAGTCATGCGGAAAGATTTCCCAGATTAAAAAGCATTTCCAAAATGGTACACCATTTCTATACACTTCCTAAAGGAAATATCTTCCATTTACATTGAAGTTCAATTGAAGAAAGAACGGTATAAACCAATTTAAGTAGAATTTTAGTTTTCCGTTTCAACCAGGAGTCATCCTGTCATTTTACAGTCATTTTAAAATTCACTGAGCCATGCTAAACTCTTGAGTTACCATTCATAGTAGTTAAACCTGTATTTCCTGGGGATTCTGCAAATACCAAGTTTAAAGTAATAAGTGTGATGCAGTAAACATCACCTGTGGGATTTTCAAAAGGGATTAGCACTGACTTAACTCAATGTTTGACTTCAGTGAAGCAGAGTTAGGACAACACTTGAGGGTTTCTGAAAAATCCCATCTCAAAATTGTAATAGCACATGTGTATATGCATTAACCAGTGTATCTTTATATGTATTGAATAGTCACCTTGGAGTGGCAAATCCTGAGTTTTTAAATGGCACCCACTGTAATTTGTATTGTCACATTCCACAGTGTGATTGGAAATGTACCTGCAGAACAAGTTGCCTTTTTAAACTAAGGTAGCTGAGATTATCGACAGCACTCTTCATTTTTTGACTCAGAAAGTTGAAATACAAAGTCAGGATTTATAGCAGAAGTAAAAAATTGTAAACGTGTTTGTGAAACTCCATAATGAGGGCTCAATGCTAGGGACGGGGAATGTCATAAGGGAAATAGGGACAACTTGTCACTTGTTAATAAACAGAAGAATTTCTTTTGCTTCCATCTTACTAACTGTCTAGGGCCTTCCTTCTGTATGCAGCAATGTACGGGGGACATAGCTAGTCCTACACTCATAAATAAGTCTACTTGTCTTTGAAAGCCCGGAAAGCATTCTTGCAAAAAATCAAGGGACCAATGTGAAAAGCTCTAATAATGTGGTAAACACTGCAGCCTGTGAAAGAATGCCGCACAGCAGGATGCTGGTCCTGTGAAGCATTGTCCCTTCAAGAGTCAACTGGAGCTTAGGGTACTCAGCACCTCACAGGATCAGTCCTGAAATGAATACCCCTGATTGTTTAAAAAACGGACATAGACCACAGTACTGACTTCACAGTAGTGCCTTTTTACTGAGACAATTATACAGTTGCAGTGATTTAAAACAGTTGGTTGCCACCAACCATGATACAGACTGAGGGGTGAAGGGAGGGAATCTACAAATTCCACCACAATGACCATGCTTTTGTGAAGATCATGTCCTTCTACAACTCTCAAAAGGCTGGTTTATAAATACAGAAAGATATGGATAGGTCTAGTGCATTTCTGAGTTCACTTTATCCTGAAATATGTACAGATTGTTTGTCGCTGCTATAGCAATTATGTTCTCAGTTGGGTGCCAGGCTGTGTGCAAGATCTTCTTAGTAAAGTCCAAACTGTCGACACTGATGTCATCCTTCCTTCGCTTGCCCCCTACGCAGACTCGGCGAGGTTTTAGAATGGCTCGTGGCTTACTGCTCTCCCGGGATGCCTCCAAGGTAACATCCCGCTTGGTGTTTCGATCAAACATTCGAAAGAAGTTGTTATATGCCCCTGTCATAATAACACTGAAGAAAGAGAAAACAAAAGCAAGAATAAATAGCAGAATGCACTAACTCTACCATGAACAGGAGTGGATCGGTACAGTACAATTACTTTTCCCTGCCATGTAATTGAACTCTATGGAGTTCAGAAACTTGTGTTACTGTGCAGTTTAATATATATGGACTTTTGAGTTTACATGGTCTCTCATTATCTCATGGCATTTAATAGACTGTAAGGTTGCTTCAATATTGTTAATCCCAAGTGTTCAAAAATCTTGAGTCAGAACCCCCAAATCATTAGATTGATTAAAAATGAAATTTTAAAATAATAATTCTTGGTTTCTTTTTATTTGCATTCTAATTCTTGGGCCTTTAAGGTTCAAATTTTCAAGTTTTCTCCATAATTATAAAACTTTTATTTGAATGAAATGTAAGCTCATGACTCCAAGAGCTTTCTTTAAGAAAAACAGCAGATATTGCATGACTTGCTATAGAATAGCAAGAGTTGACAGCACTGTATACTTTCACATTTCTTTAAATGAATGTTGCCAAGAAAGAAGTTTGAGGAGTTACTACGATCAGGTCAAATTCATTGCATCTGTGAATTCTGTACGTGAAATTCATTTCCTTACAGCCTTAAATTATTATTATTTATTATTTGTATCATCATAGCACCTACAAGCCCCGGTCATGGACCAGGGCCCATTGTGCTAGGCACTGTACAAACACAGAACAAAAAGACAGGCTCTGCCCCAAAGAGCTTACAATCTAAGTATAAGATGAGAGAAAATAGATGAATACAGATAAACGGGGGAGTACAAGAAAACAATGATACAATATTGTTTAAATAGACAAGCCAGAAACAGGCTGGTGGAAGGGGTAGAACACACGTACAGCGTGAACAATGTGATGGTAGCAAATGTCAAGTTAGTGCCACAATTTTTTGGGGGTGGGGGTGGATTTACTTAGGACAGGATCAGCTAAATGGAAAGAAAAGAAGAGAGGGGTGAGAGGAACAGGGCAGGAGAGGAGAGGGTAGTCAGGTATGAACCTGAGGTGAAGAGGCTGTGAGAAGGGACGGGGGTTGGAGCAAACAGCGAATCAGTGCAGGGCAGAGGGACGTCAGAGAACATTCCAGAGCTTTGACTAGATGTCCAAAGGTGCCTGCTTGGTCTGCTCCTGCTTCTACCAGGTGGAGTCTCTGGCTGGCTCCTCTCTGCAGCTCACGTAGGGTGGTTGAGGGGAGGCTCCAACTGGGTCCCTAGTGTCCCCAGAGTATGTGTGGGGTCCCCCCTCCACATTCTAAATCCAGGGGAGGTGTGAAAGGGGAGAAGGGGTGACCCTGGTTAGGTCCTATTTTACCCATCCCCACCTCCAGGGCAGCAGTCCCTGCTTTGGACACTGTTAATAAGTTTAGAGAAACAAGCGCTATGAAACCATTTATCTCCAAATACTTTTAATAAAAAGATGTTTACCAATAAACTTGATGTGACTGTATTTGATCTACTACACAATCACAAAAGGAGACATGTACCCTCTCAGTCCTTCCATCCCTCTGCACAAAGCCTAAGTAGTCATGCTTTTTTGCAAGATTATCTGCAGGGGCTGGAGAAAGAGGGATGGAATTTATCTTCTCCCCAAACATAAGCAGACCCCTAATACCAGCCCATAGTCTGAAACAGTGATTGTGTCCTGCTCCAAAATCCTCCATCGCAAGGGGTGATAGTCTGGCTCCACTGAAGTCAGTGGGTCTTTGGGTCACTAGATCCACATGGTCATGGATCCTATGGCCTTGCCTATAACCCCCCACTAACACTGACCTATTGCGGGCCAATGCAGATACTCCCAAGCAGTGGCCAGGGTGTGGAGACCTTGCTGCAAAGCTCAACAGTTATAATCCCCCCCACACACACACTGCAGCCCCAATGTAGGGTTTCAGTGGTGTGGAGAGCATCCCATTGGCTCTCTGCACTAGGGAAAAATGTCACCCAAAGCTCATATGGTCTTTAAAGGAGGAGCTATAGAATCATAGAAATGTAGGGCTGGACGGGAGCTTGAGAAGTCATCAAGTCTAGCCCCTTGCATTGAGGCAGGACCAAGTAAACCTAGCCCATCCCTGACAGGTGTTTGTCTAGCCTGTTCTTAAAAACTGCCAATGATGAAGACTACACAACCTCTGTTGGGAGCCTATTTCAGAGCTTAACTGTCCTTCTGGTTGGAAAGTTTTTCCTAATATCTAACCTAAATCTCCCATGCTGCAGATTCAGCCCATTACTTCTTGTCCTACCTTCAGTGGACGTGAACAACCACACGTCACATTCCCAATCATGGTCTTCCTTTCGCAAGACTGACCATGCCCAGTTTTTTTTAATCTGGCCTCATAGGTCAGGTTTTCTAAAACTTTTTTCAGTTTTGCTGCTCTTCTGTGGACTCCGTTGCCTCTCTTCCACACTTTCCTAAAGTGTGTTGCACAAAACTGGACTCCAGATGAGGCCTGACCAATGCCAAGTAGGGCGGGACAATTACCTCCCTTGTGTTATATACAACACTCCTGTTAATACACCCCAGAATATCTGCCTGTTTCACAACTGCATCACATTGGTGATTCATACACAATTTGTGATTCACTATAACCCCACATCCTTTTCAGCAGTACTGACACCTACCTAGTTATTCCCCATTTTGTAGTTGGGCATTTGACTTTTCCTACCTAAGTGAAATACTTTGCGCTTTGCTTTATTGAATTTCATCTTGTTGAATTCAGACAATGACTTGAGGGCATTTTTGAATTCTATTCCTGGCCTCCAAAGTGCTTGCTACACCTCCCAGCTTTGTAGCATCTGCAAATTTTATAAGGATGTGCACCACTCTATCATCCACATCACAAATGAAAATATTGAATAGTACCGGACCCAGGACTGACCCCCCTACAGGACGTCATGAAATACATCCTTCCAGTTTGACAGCAAACCATTGATAACTACTCTTTGAGTATGGTCTTTAAATTGTGGGTGCACAACTGATTGAATCTAACCCACACTTCTTGAATTGCTTCTGAGACTGTCATGTGGGACTGTGTCAAAAGCCTTACTATAATCAAGCTATAGTACATCTACTGCTCTCCCACAATACAACAGGCCGGTAATACTGTCAAAGAAGGAAATTAGGATCGTTTAGCATGACTTGTTCTTGCCAAATCCATGCTGACTACTCCTATAATTCTATGATCCTCTAAGTGCTTACAAATTGATGGTTTAATAATTTGTTCCACTATCTTTCTAGGTATTGAAGTTAAGCTGACTGGTCAATAATTCCCTGGTATCCTCCTTGTTCCCCTTTTTGAAGATAGGTACTATGTTTGGCCTTCTCCAGTCCGCTGGGACCTCATCCATCCTCCATGAGTTCTCAAAGATAACAGCTAATGGGTCCAAGATTGCTTCAGCAAGTACCTTATGATGACATTCATTAGGCTCTGCTGACCTGAATACATCCAACTTATCTAAATAGCCTTTAACCTGATCTTCCCCTATTTTAGCTTGCATTCCTTCTCCCTTTTTGTTTACATTAATTGTTTTGAGTATCTGGTCTCCATTAACCTTTTTAGTGATGACTGAAGCAGCCTTCTTGATACCATCAGTTATTATCTCTTCTTCCCTGCTAAATAAAGGACCTACATTTTCCTTTGCCTTTCTCTTGCTTCCTCATGTATTAAAGAACCTCTTCTTCTTACCTTTTATGTCCCTCATTAGGTGTAACTCATTTTGTGCCTTGGCCTTTCTAATTTTGTCCCTACAAGCTTGTGCTATTCTTTTGTCCTCCTCCTTCGCAATTCGTCCATGTTTCCACATTTTGAAGAGTTCCTGGTGGCACCATACTTGCCTCTTTCGATTAGTCTTATCTTTCCTTCATATGGGGACAGTCTGAAGTTTTGCCTTTACTAATGTCTCTTTCAGATACTGCCAGCTCTCCTGAATTACTTTTTCTCTTTGATTTTCTTTTCATGGAACCTTACCTAGCAGTTCTCTGAGTTTATTAAAGTCTGCTTTTTTGAAGCCCATTTTCCTGCTGCTGCTCTCACTCCTTCTTTTCCTTAGAATCATGAAATTGATCATTTAATGATCACTTTCACCCAAATTGTCTTCCACCTTCAGATTCACAACCAATTCCTCCCCATTGGTCAGCATCAAGTCTAAAATTACTGTTTGCAGGGTTACTTAATCTACTTTCTGAAACAAAAAGTTGTCCGACACAATACTGTGTTATGCTGTAATTCTCTTCCAATAGATGTTTGGGTAGTTAAAATCCACAAGTATTACCATGTCTTGTGTTTTGGATATTTCTGTTTTTTGTTCTAGAAATGCCTCATCCTGCACCTCCTCTTCCTGATTTGATAGTCTATAGTAGACCCCCTACCACAACATCACCCCAATTTTTACTCCTTTTATTTTTACCCAGAGACTTTCAGCTGCTCTGCTTCTCACCTCCTTCTGGACCTCAGAATAAGTGTATATATTCTTTATGTATAATGCAACACTTCCTCCCTTTTTATCCCGCTTCTCCTTCCTGAACATGCTGTACCCCTCTATATCAATATTCCAGTCATAAGACTTCTCCCACAAAATCTGTGATATCAATTAAGTCATAATTTAATTTATGAACTAATACTTGCTGTTCATCCTATTTATTCCCCATACTCCTTACATTTTGTATAGACAACAAAAATGTTGAACTGATGCCCCTCACCCCCATTTCCTTCTTGTTAGTCCTATACCTTATGTCTCCTGCCTGTACAGTTCCAAGCTCATTGTTGGCGCTCAGTAAACAACTCCAAGTCTTTTTAATGCAATCCAGCAGAGTATATTTCATGTGCCCCATTCCAGAAAATGAATAAAAGTTATTGTGTTTTAGCATTGTGTCACTATGTACAGTTGGTTACACTATTTTTCTGTTGCATTTTGTTTTTGAGGATACACCATAGTCTATTGGACTGGGAATCAGGAGTCTTAGGGCCTATTCCCAGCTCT